CTTTCCAAGAAGCTTAAAGACTAGAACCCGCTTGGCAGTTCTAGTGTTAAACCCTGATCAGTTTGCCGGATCAGGAAATGCTTAGGTGCATAACTTCCGGGGCAATAACAAATGTTATTTTGTCATTAGGCTTGTGTCTGTATCAGATGTCTGTAGTGTGTGTTGGTTGCTTTTCTACCCGGCTTTATTTATATATCAGATATCTGGTGGACCAAAGCACAAAGTGGATGAGTGTAAATTAGGTGTTAATGAGGAGATAATAGCATGATCTCTTTCTACCTATAAATATCTCTGAAGCTCCACTTGATAAGCTGCTATCAGGCTCTGCATCACTTTATGGGCCGAGTGTGGCTCCCGCTGTCTGTAATCATGATGTGAAGATGGAGTCATGGGGGGGGGGGGGGGGGAAGACATCAAAGTCCTACAAATGCCTTCCCTACTGGCTAAATAAGCCATCTCATTAGTTAAATAAGTTGTGAGCATATTGATTAGAGGTGTTTAATTTAGCACGTCTCTGAGTGAGCAGAGAGGGCCTGGAGGGGGAGAGAGGGAGAGAGAATACAGCAAAGGATTATGGGAGGGTCATTAGCTCTGCAGTATAAGCCAACATGTTTTGTCCTGATTGGAGATGAAAGTCGAGAAGATCACCTTTCTGCAGGCAGCATCTATCCAGCGGTTATATACTTAGTAAGAGTAGCAATGCTGCATTGTAAACATACTCGGTTACAAGTAAAATTCCTGCATTTAAAATCTTACTTAAAGGTGGGGTAGGTAATTTTGGAGAAACCAGTTTGAGTGCGCTAGAATTTGAAAATACGCAGCCGGAAAAAAATCTGCCACTTCCTTACAGAGCCCCTCCTCCAACACACACGAACGCGCACATGACCAATGAGGGCACGAGATAAGTTTGTGCACAGATGGAAGGCTGACAGGCAGGTAGGCCATCCAGTTACTTTAGCCGGGCCGGCTCAGATGATTGGTCGTGCTTTTTACAGCACTACGGCTTCCACAGATGATATTTTTGTATGTATTTTTTGTCAAAGCACTTAAGATATTCATTGCTATCGGGATGTTAAGAGCATTCCATGGAATATAACAAAAAGTGTTTCTGAAGTGAATTACATACCCCACCTTTAAGTAAAAGTTAAAAATGTTTTAATTAAATGTGTTATGTAAACAAATGACACATATCAGGTTAGTTGAAAGCAATAATATTAGGTTTAATAAAAAATAATAGGTTCAACTTAATATTATTGCTTTCAACTATTCTAATACAGTTATGTGAAATCTGTTTACATGATACATTTAATTAAAGTCAACGTTTATTTTCTTCAGTGCACCCAACATGCCAGGGTGAATCATTCACCCAATTCACATTAAAGTAATCGCGAGTCAGTCAGTATAAACTTCTGAGGACCATGAATGCATGTCCAAAATACACTGCACTTTCAATCAATCAAAGTTTATTTATATAGCTCAATATCACAAGTTCTACAATTGTCTCAGGGGGCTTTACAGATTATACAGAATACGACATCCTCTCCTTTGACCCTCCTTCTCCTTCTCATTCTTCAACTCATATGTTCTCATTAACACACATAGATTATTTGTCTTGCTTGTCTTGACATGTTGCTTTTCACAAACACTCCCCACATAATGATTGATGTTGGCATTCCCTCATGCTGATGAGCTGATATTATGTATCCAATTTAAGAACAGTCCGGATTCACAAACTAATTTTGTGGTAACAACAAATCACAGACTCTGCACACGCTACATGAATAACATGTTGAGTTCTCTTGTTTTTCTCTTATACTGTTTTAACAAACACTTCAGGAGGAATACTAAGAAAACCTGTGTGAGTGAGGCCCAATTAGTGCCAAGCACATTTCAATACATCTCCTCAAAGTACGTCTCTCTAAGTGGTTATGTATGCTGGCAAAACATCATCCAGTATTCACACACACACACACACACACACACACACACACACACACATTCCTCTGCCCTTCTTCACAAATTAAGCATGCCCATTTCTCAACATTTACATAACATACTCAGAATAGCCCACGCATTTATATTTACACGCTGCAGCACGACAGTTTTATTATCAAAGGCTTGTGCCAATACCAGGCCACATGAACCCCCCCCCCCATCATGTCCGTCCAGCGGTCACCAGGACAAAACTATGGCTGCGAGGGACAGATGGACAGAGGGAAATGCTGTCTGTCACCACTGTCTTGTCCAACTTTCTTAAGTTGCCACTAATCAACAAAGAGCCTGTTAGGGTTACAGCCCTGGGGAAGCCTCAAGCTATTTTCCAATTAGTGCCACCAGAGAGACAAATAGGAATTATACACAGTGCACTCAGGGAAGAGAGCGGAAACAAGAAGGGTGGAGGAGAGGGGGATAAGAGAGGATAAGACTGAAGAGCACATGGCAAGGGCAAAGAGAGAGAGACTAGTGAGGGATGTCGAGGCGGTATCTCTTCTCTTTGGGGTGAGCAGATTAAACGATTGTGACAGCAATTTGGGCAAAACAACATTCGTAGCCGAGACAGACAGATAGACGTTGGGCTGGGGCCTGTCTGGAAGAATACTCGGCCGGTGAAAGGGCTGTGGAGACAGCAGGCTGCAGCGGCACTATCAATTATCTGCAGCTCGCTCTGTATGCCGCGCTGTGTGTGAAGCTCTGCAGTCCTCCACCAAGTTCCCTCGCCTTTTTAAGATGAAAACTCTTTGTACGAAGGCAAACTCCCGGCTCAAAGGGCCGCCGCTCGTCCAGCTCTGGTTATTAGCCTGGGTATATATTATACAGTATGTGAACTAATAACACAGGGGGTGAGAACTACTACACACATATGAATAATGATCATAGGGCAGACATAGGAAATCCCCCTGGAGTTATTGATGATTCAATTGGATTATACTTTATTTTCATTGCAAAGGGTACAAGTACTAAGACAACAAAATGCAAACAATAGGGGGGGTTTCCTATTATACTCCCGAAACTACTGATACTAAGATCAATTATATCAGGATCAGGGCCTAATCGCCAACGAATATTAACATTTCTATCATGTGGCGCATGTGTGAATACATGTTCTTCCCTGATTGAACTATAGATCAGGAATATAAAAAGACTGTAGAGACTGTTATCAAGTGTTCTGCACTGTTTCAGATACATGGATTCAGGAGAAGATTAAATAAAAATAATGAGGACATTGAGTGTTGGATCAGTAACACGGCTGTCCTTTGTATAAGTTAAGGTCGAGCACACAAACTAAGAAGAAAAAGGGGGCACTTACCAGTACGATGGGAGTCGTATGAAACTAATGATAAATACAGCTTCTACGAGGGGTTCCTGAAAACATGTGATTCAAGGACTTTATCGTAGATCATAATGAGTTATAAGAGAAATCCTGAGAGGATTCATATTAATGAGAAGTAAACGACACTCAACCTGAAACGACAACTTCACAGAGCTCTCATGACACGAGCTGCAATTCATTTCTTTACATATCAACATCGCTGTGATTCACCACACTGCAAAAACTAAGCCTAAAAAAACAAGTAAAATAAATAATAAAATGAGTAATATATTACTTAATATAAGAAAAATTATCTGCCAACAGAACAAGAAAAATTCACTTGCCAAGACCTTCTTAAAACAAGTAAATATATCTAGCCTAAAAATATCTACATATATCTTAAAACGAGTGTTTTTAAACCAAAAATAAGTACATTTGAATTGATGCAAGGAAGGAATATAATCTTATTATAAGGAAAATGTGCTTGAATTCAGCATATTCTACTGCTATTGTCCCAAAATTCTATTTTATGTTAGGCAACATTTCTTAAATCCAGTGCAGCTTCACTTTAAACAGGTATATTTGTCTAGATACAAGATAAGATTTAAGAATTATTTTCTTAATATGTAGAAAAATCTACTTAAATTCAGCATTCGGTGCTATTCTTAAAATAAGGCTAAATACCAAGAAACGTAACAAAACCTTCAAAAATCTTTAATCCTATCAAGATATAAACTTTGACTGCTTGCTTAAAGAAAAATGAGTCTCAAATGATTTCTTTTAATGTTTTTATTGTTTTCAAACTGCGTAGTAAAGGTCAGTCATCAGATATGTCTTTAGAAAAAAAGAGAACATTCTTTCACTGTAAAATACAACACAAGTGAAATTCTCATGACACTTTTGACTCAGCGAACAATTTTCAATAGGACTATAAGTATGAGGGGCCGCTAGGGACATTATTCAGAAATACCGTTTACTTACACATGTGAAACACTCTCACACACACAACTGAAACCAAAATAATTTACAAACATATCTAAAAATCTCTCATATACACATATGAAACGCTCTCACACACATGAAATCCAAAGTTATTCACACACACATGTGAAACGCACGCACTCACACCTGAAACGCTCTCACACACACATGAAATGCACTCACACCTGAAACTCTCTCACACATGAAACGCTCTCCCACAGATATGAAACGCTCTCACACACATGAAATGCACTAATATACACATGAAATGCAATTTCAGTATGTTGTGTGAGAGGGATTTCAGTTGAATCTGAAGGCATCTCGGTTGAAAAGGAAGTTGTTTAAAAAAAAAAAACTGCGAAGAAGCGCACATTTCTAAAAGGCGAGATGCCTTCCGTTTCAACTGAAATCCCTCTCACACAACATATTGAAATCGCATTTAATGTGTATATGAGTGCGTTTCATGTGTGTGTGTGTGTGTGTGAGGGTGTTTCAGGTGTATGCGAGTGCGTTTCAGGTGTGTGTGAGTACGTTTCACGTGTGTGAGTGCGTTTCATATGTGAATAACTTTGGATGTCATGTGTGTGAGAGCGTTTCATATGTGTATATGAGAGATTTTTACATATGTTTGTAAATTATTTTGGTTTCAGTTGTGTGTGTGAGAGTGTTTCACATGTGTAAGTGAACGGTATTTCTGAATATTGTCCCTAGCGGCCCCTCATATATAAGTGCCCTAATCACTTATGAACTTTTTCCAGTCGGCCATAGCCTTTTTGTATGAAGTAGTCATGTCATGGTCGTGAATGGCGTCCAAGAGGACTTCTGTCTGCACCACAGACAGGAGTGTTGCAATGCACTTAGGATAGGTGAGGTGAAAGGTGTAATAACATGCCATGAGATACATCACGCTTTCATGAATGTCCTCTTTTGGGAAGATGAGCACGGGCATGGTTCCAATGGCCAGTATACAGTTGGTTTCGCAGATGATGACAACAGGGCTGGAAAGTGGTCGTGTCTGAAGAAAGGTGTTTGGGTCTTCTGCAGACTGACACAAAAACAGACAAAGAAATCGTCACAAAAAGGGAAACAAATATGATCACAACATTTCACTCTTTGTATCGACATGAGAAAATTCTTATACATTTTCTTGCCTCAAGGACGTGGAGCAGAGCCTCACTTGCGTGCCTTAACTTCTTGGGTGGGGCCATAGGTGATGGGAACATCTCTGGTAAAGCCTTCATCATGGCAATTGAGTGCTTTACTGTTGAAAAAAAAAGTGTCATTCCGTTTCCTGCAGTCAGTTAATAAACAGACATGGTCAGAGATAATAATCACCTTTGTCAAGCTGCGGAGGCCTCATGAGCTTTTTGAAAACTCCATAAAACTGTGCCCTCTCACAAAAGGTCCCCCACCGGGTCTTAAGTTCCGTTAAGAAGTGGGAGTTGCCTTGATTGAGGACCCGCCGTAGTTCATCCATTAGCTAAAACAACGAGGGAGAAAATATGTAGAAGAAATATTAAAATCTACATTCCAAAGGTTAGTAATTCGTCTCATAACTGAATTTCCAAAAAAAGATTAATATGTGTATAATGTGATTTAAATGGTCACTTAACAAAAATATGCACATAGAAACATGTGTTTTTCTGCAAATGTATGTCTTATGCACACACTATTTTTAAATACGTATTGTGGACCAATAATACTAACAAAATAATGTTGTGTGTATCAGAAGCACATTTGTGAAATTAGTTATTTTTAAATAAGTGGAGGGTTTTTATATATCTATGCAGAATACATATTTGTATTCAATAAGCATATTTGAGTCATTCATTTATAAATAATGAGACAGATCTGATTTAATTGTCACACCATTTCTCATTTCAAATTTGGTCTAACGTTATCTGAATTAGGAAGCATAGTTGTACAACATTTGCTTACATGATCCAGTTCTCCAAAGCAAGGATAAGCTTTAAGAATCTTGGAAGGCCTGTCCTGCTCCTTTGTAACATCAGAGTCAATGAAGGCCCTTCTCGCTTGGATTTCGAGGTCCAGGAGCTGAGCAACATCCATCTTGTTCGGTCTGGCCTTAGTTTTATACATCGCCTGTAGAGTCTTATAGTGTCTCGCCTGGGTCTGTGGGCTCTCAGTTTCTGATGCTAGAAAACATAAACCCCACTATTTTCATTTCTGATGTTAAAGTTGAAATGAGACATTAACACACAAACAGCCATAGTGACTGACACAGGGCAAACATAGATGAGTAATCTTGAATAAAAAAGGGTTCTAAAATAGCTTATTGATATTATTAAATGTTCTTGAAGAGATTTAACTATCTACTATTTCAATTTATGTACTTACCACATAACTGTTCAGCCTCCGGGGTGCTGCATCGAGATGGTGGTGATCTCTCCAAGATCCAGGTTGATGCGGTGGATTCATCAGTCTCATCAGTGGACGTCTCATGGCTGCTCTGAAAGCTTAAACTCCTAGGCCTCTTTCTTGAAGGAGTTGAACCCTGCTTCTTTTTGGGGGTTGTCACATTCTGGACCCTTTTCAAAAGCTGCTTTTTCACAGTTTCCTTACAAGACAGACATACAACAGGTTCTGTTATAACTCACATAAAACAAACTTGTATCAAACAAAATACACCATACAAGCAGTTGCACAGAGCTCTTATTGAACTGGATAAAACACATCACTCCCAGTTTGATAGGCAAATGATTGCAGTGCTTTGTCTGAACCATGAGTTGAAAACTTGAATAGTGACATACCCACTCAGCTCTACTGGTTTGAGATCTGTCCCGAAGCATTGGGTAGTACTCAATCAGACGCTTCGCCATTACAGTGAGTTCACGGCTGCATGGATAGTTAAAGTCATCCCCAGCTGCTCTTTTAATGGAAAGCATGCTTGTGACTGTATTCCTGATTAATCGACAGCGAAGATCTTTGGAAAGGACGTAGTCTCCTTCTTCTCCAGCACGCTGCTTTTCAGAAAAGGTGCTTCGTGATTGCTCCAATTCTGTGTCTGTGTATAAAACATACAGTGGACTGGGAAGCTGTACGGTTCTGCTGGCACCATGTTGGGGTTGTGGGCTTTGAGAGGAGAAGGAGGGTGGAGAAAAGACGGGGGATGGAGAGGGGTTGGGGCAGGAGGAGGAAGAGGAGGGAAACAAGGAAGGTTGGGGGGTAGGAATAGGGCTGAAATCACAAGTCCCATGGGAGGTACTCGGTCTACACAGGTCTGTCTCCTGGCCCTGTATAAAAGATGCATATATATATATAAAATGGTATTTACAATGAAAAGAGCACTACGCTGTGACAACAACAAAAATCAACACAACCAAAAAACTCCACTTCAAATAACTGCATGATGACTAGGAAAGGCTTACTTGGTAACAGGTTTAAAGTCCCTCAAATGTTAGAATCTGGAATTACCTCATTTTCATCATGATTGAGTCTCCAAATGGTTCTTCTTCTTCTGAAGTGCTCAGGCCCGGGAAGGAGATCACGCAAGTCCTCCTTAGAGAGGCTGGGCAGCATGTCTCTGCTTATATTAGCAGCTGAAAACACATTTAACCACACAGTTAATAATAAGGTAAAAAGCAACTAATAACATATTTATCTAAATACATAAAATGAAAGAGTAATGTACATTTCTGGCTGGCTTCACAAGATTTTCTTTAACATTAAAAAATGTATTGCACTTACTTATAATTGATTGAAAAAATTGCTGTTACAATAGGTTCATCCAGAGTTAAAGTTATTTTGGCCAAATGAAAATGAAAAGGCACCAGGGAAATGAATAAACGAGGCATGTTGTTAGGATAAATCCATAACACAAATGTGTAAAATCTCATAGGCTATAAAAGTTATACATTTTCAGCATCTTTTATAGTACAATAAAACAAATCTTGATGTTTAAGAGCAAACACAGTTAAACTTATTTTCAAAACAGTGTCTTTACCTTGAAATCTTTATTCAAATAAGCATAATTTACGTCCCAAGCCTGCTTATATCCAAAGGACAGTGTAGTTTCAATAGCCTGCACTGCACTATCATACAACAACGCATTTGTAAATGCTGTCTACAACAAAGAAGGGCGCCAAAGATGGCTATGCTAGTGTACAACAAAGAAGGGCGCCAAAGATGGCTATGCTAGTGTACAACAAAGAAGGGCGCCAAAGATGGCTATGCTAGTGTACAACAAAGAAGGGCGCCAAAGATGGCTATGCTAGTGTACAACAAAGAAGGGCGCCAAAGATGGCTATGCTAGTGTACAACAAAGAAGGGCGCCAAAGATGGCTATGCTAAATACTTTACTGTCAGTTGTGGAAGGCTCATTTGCTTCTTGACATTATTTCTGGCAATAAAACAGTATCAACTAAAATGTTAACCACGATTTGTCGATTATGCCGTTATTAACAGCTTACAGTAGATATTAGCTAAGTTAACTAGATATGTAGCCAGCCTAGCTAAGTCCAACCGATTCAAATAATGTAAAGCTTGCTGGAGAGGTGCAGTATAAAATACAAAATTACATTACCTTTTAATGCTGCAGTTGCTATAGGATCCAAGCATGTGATATCTCTTCCATTTTCATCCATGGCGTAGTTTTAATGTTCAATCACTTGCAGAGGTTCAGTCTTCTGCCTGAAGGAAAGCTAGCCAGCAACGTCCTGAAGCTAGGTGCACCTGACCTAACACACGCCCTTAACGGACCCTCTTCGCGGTTCCCATTGGAAGGTACCATTTCTTAAAGAGGGGTGACAGAGATATTTTATATGTTGCAAATATTAGGAATATTAATAACTGATGCGGTCATAGGTAACATTTCAAACATCTGTTTCTAGATGCACATCATTCCACAAGTTATTCCCAGGCATTATTATGACGTGTATATATATATATATATAGGAAGACGACTCACCGGCCTCCCCCATACAGCTAGAGAATGTGATAAACCCACTTCATTAGTTATTTCCCCCAACGTGTACATGGCCTGCTGCAGAAACGTTTTAATATCGTTAACTTTTGGAAGATTTCACGATGCTTTGGCGGTGCGTTATCTGCTGCGTTTTTATAACTTTTTCACTGAAATTATTATTGAGCCATATTAATCGACTGCACAGTCGCAGCTCTGACTTCAGGTTGCTCTGTGGCATTGATGGATGCACTGAGGAATATAGAGTGTACAACTCATTCTACCATCATGTAAAGAGAAGACACTTTCAACATCTTCTTGAAGACACCAGACCTGGCGACGCCACACGTGGAGATGAAAACCGACAGGAGGAAACCCAAGGACCGCAGCAAAAAGTAAGTAACGTCTGCTAATTCAGCTAAGATTGTTAGCTACAGTGTTTGGGCCACGTGGCCACTCGGATACAGGGTTAGTTTCGTACATTGTGTGATGCTACAGATAGCGTTAGCCAATACTGATCAGCCACATTTAGTTATTATAAATCCCTTAGCATTAACTAATGAATCTGCTAGGCTACAAGCAGGCGGCATCTGTCAACCATATATTTTTAATTCAGCAGTTAGCTATGTAGTGTTTTTGTGGGGATGAAAAAACCGTTAAAAATATGCATTACGTTGGTGTTTGGCCACAGTTACTAAAACAGTAAATCACAAAAATTATGGTTTTCCACTTTTTCACTCTGCAATATTCTGCAAGGTGCATGCATCACTGTCAGGATCTGCATATGATTTGTTGAATTCACAGTTTTAGCAAATCAGAAATAAATCTCAAATTCTTTACCCACTATTAAACTTAAAACAAAGATAAATAGATTTTCAGATTTGATTAGAAAAAAAAGTTTCATGGTTTTGTTTTCTGGACTGAAAAAATGTAATAAAGAGTGTTACCCAGACTATGGATAAAGTGCTACGGCTTACAGTTAATAATTGTTGCTGAAATAACTCTTGCCCCCAAAGTTTGTTTAATGTGAAAATAATCTTAGATAGAAAGGAATTACATATTTAAATTGCTCTTTTAGTGAAGCTAATTTTTTTATTTTTTACAATTTCAAACAATCTTGTTTCTTTGATATGTTGTACACAGGACAACATTCAACCCGATCAGCTTCCAGCCGACTCCAGCAGCGAGGATCAGAACCTTCACACACCTGACTCAGTTGAAGAGCAAATGGGCATCGACCAAGATGGAGCTGTCACAGTGCACCAAGTATGTTTTCTTTGTTGTTGACTATCTACTGAAAATTAAGGGCTGCTAAATAAAGGTCAGGCCGATATAGTAGTGGCTAATATTGGCCTAGCATATAATTTATATATCAATATTATGTTGAAATATTTCATTTAAATTCACCAAATGATTCATAAAACCTAGAGGTATATGTGAAGATGTATTTCTATGTGCTGTACTAGCAAAACTAAATGAACACATAAAGAGTTAGAATGGCTTATTGTCTTGTTGGAGTACTAATGTTTGATATGTTTTGGTCAGAGTTACAAAATATTAAATTATCTATCTTTGCTCACCACATGTCACCAGTTTTTTTATCATCAGATGTGCATACATTTAAAGATTATATATTTCTGTCACATTGAGTAATGTTATACCTGCAAATGTCAAGTTACTACATTTTGTATTGTAGGATCTGACAACACATGCCACTGCCTTTGTTATCAATGCTTCCTATGTAACCTTTTTGGACTAAAAGCATTATGCCATGTGTGATCTGCTTCTCAGAACATATTAACAGGAAATATTTTGTGTGCGACAAAGAAATGCAAATGAGCATTTATTATCCAGAAATTCAAGCCATTCACTCTGACTAACCCAGTAAGGGATTTCCCATATTTTATTACAATTTATAACCAGACACAGTGTAGCCATATATTAAGTTAGACCTAGTTGTTCTTTGAGAACAGAGCACAGTATTTGGCTACCTACTGTACACAGTTAGCAGTTAATAGTGGTTCACTGATGGCCGAGTTCAGTTTTAGTGCTTTGTTATCCACTTTACTGTTGTGTCTATGTCATAAGCAAAACTGTATATCACATAAAGCTACAGTGATCATGATAATGTTTACCAACATCAAAGATTGATCACATCGCTTTCAATCTCTCATTTTCAGAAAGGCATGAATGACATTGTTGCTGGGGTACAGCAGTATCAATCATCACTATTGGACAACCTCAGGACGCAGATGAAGGAAGTTCTAAAGAAGAATTCAGGAAGTACAACCAATCAACTTGGAAAAGATGCAATGGATATATTTGACAGTTTCATTGACCCCTTTGCTAACGTTTCAACAACATTTCGCCAGAACAGTGTTATTAGGAAGCAGTTTTGTTGTGTGGATGCAGAGGAAATTCCAATTGCTCGAACCATATGCAGGAAGAAACGTGGAGGATCAACAGATTTTGTCATCAAAGACAAATTATTTTATTATGTACCATTAGTCAAAAGTGTAGAGCAGTTCCTATTACATCCGAGGATTTTGACTATGATTGAAGAGGTACCCCAGAGGTGCAGTGAAGGTTTTTTTCATGACCTTGTTGATGGTTCTCTTTTAAAATCTCATCCCTTATTTTCAGAGAAACCAAATGCACTGCAGATTATTCTGTATACAGACGAAATAGAGATCTGTAATCCACTAGGATCCTTTTCATCAAAGAACAAGTTGTTAATGGTGTACTACACCCTAGGAAATATAAATCCAAATTACAGGTCTAAGCTGGCTGCTATTAGGCTACTTGCGATGGCTAAATCAGCAGACCTCCGTCAATCTGGTGTAGATGTAATATTGAATAGAATAAAGGAAGACATGGATGCATTGTACAGTGGTGTTAAAATTCAAACTATTAACGGGGAGAAAACAATACATGGTGCTATGGTTTCTCTCTGGTGACACCCTGGCACAGCATGAACTCGCAGGGTTCAAAGAAGGAGTGGGCTTTGCTTACTGTGAGTGTTCTTTTGAGGACATGCAGTCACAATTCAACGAGGATGCATATATTAAAAGAACATTGGAGAATCATGTCAGACAGTGTGATGAAATAGAAAAGGCTAACACAGACTTGCTTCGCAACAGCCTTAGAACAACATATGGGATCAATCGAAGGAGCAAGTTAGTTGACTTCTCATCCTTTGATATTATTCGGCAAACCCCGCAAGACATTATGCATGTCATTCTTGAGGGTATAGCTTCTCTGGAAATGAAATGTGTTTTGAATCATCTTGTTCAGTCAGGAGAGTTAAATCTGGACTCTGTGAATTCAGCTATTCTTGGTTTCCCTTATTCGCCTCTAGATGTTAGAGATCGACCATCCCCAATTTCTCCGAATACACTGATGTCAACTGATGGTAAACTAAGGCAGTCATCAGGGCAAATGCTTGTCCTGTTGAGGATATTGCCATTTGTTTTGGAACATTTGAAAGTCAATGCAGTTGATAATGGACTTAATAGAGATTGTTCAAATAGTGTTTGCACCTGTTCTTACCATTGCAACTGTGTCAAGGTTAAAGTTACTGATTGAAAGTCATTTGAAGCATTGGAAGGAGCTTTTTCCAGACCACAATGTTACACCTAAGCAGCATTACATGATACATTTGCCATCACAGATAGAATCATTGGGTCCCATGGTCAGACATATGTGTATGCGGTTCGAGTCTAAGCATTGTTTATTTAAGCAATGGGCCTCCAAGCTCAATTTTAAAAATGTATGCAAGTCTTTGATTAATCAGAACCAAATATATGAAAGCTGCCAAAATGTTGACCCTTCCAAGCACCCAATTTTTTCAAATGAAAAGGAGATGGGTCCTGTATCTGAGGTTAGAGATCTACAATATTTACATGGGAAATTGAGGGACTTCCTAGGTTTTAGTGAAATTAACCATGCTGTATCAGTGAAATGGCTTGTGATAAATGGTAATAAATACATTACTGAGAAGTCCTTGATCCTTGCCAATGTACTAAATGGTAATACACCCGAATTTGGACTTGTCAAAAGCATATTTCTTGTTGATTCTAAGCTTTATTGTTTGGAATATCAGCCTTTTCAGTCCATATGCTTTGATAGAAATGTTATGGCTTATCAAGTTGAGGTCCCACACCTTGCACAGGCCACTGAGTTAGTGGATGCTGAAAAGCTGGTTGATTTTACCTCTTATTACACAATCAGCAGAAAGGGCCAAACCTATGTACAAGTGAAATACTATCTTGGGGATGTAATGGAATTACACAACAGTTCAAATGACTCATAGCGTGTTCCTTTGATATGATGATGTTGAAACATTTAAAGCAAACTTAGCAGGTTTAAATGTAGGACTAAGGTCCTGACTTAGGATATGTTATTAGCAGATTCAAATGTTAGCTGTTTGGATTCCAGATGCGTTTTGCATTATAGTTTGCAGTGTACCTAAATCATCTGTATCTTTGTATAATACTGGGTCTTTCTTTCAGGTTGTTTTAAATGTTAATTACATAACATGTTATCAGCCATTTAGGTGTTTATCACAATGCTGTTTATGTTTGCTAAATGCCCTTGGCCTGAATAATGTTACCTACTTTAACTTTTCAAATGAGATGTTTGCACATATTGCTCAATCACTTTAGCTTGCTGAAGAATAATACATGCTGAAAAGAATGTTCTTAATGCAGTAGTTTGACTTGGCTGGTGCTGTTATTTCTGTATACTGCATTTCATATATGGACATACTTAATTGATGTACTGGGTTTTAGAGCGACAATAAAACAATGAATTTCATTTGGTCCTTATCTGTTTTTAATATGTTAAGAGATGAAAAAGGATAGGATGCTTGCAATAAGATATTCTGACTTTGAAAAAGCAGTTTTCTACTTATCAGTGTTGATCTAATATCTTTAGAATTATGGTATTTCTCAATTTAAACATTAATTTACTCAGAATCAGTATTAAAATCTCAAAAACAAGTAATAAAACCTCATTAAGATAATGAAGTAAAAAAACACTTAATGGAAGTGAAATTCACTACAGCAAAAACTTCTTTGTAAGAGGAAATATCTTGGCAGACAAAATATAAGCATATTTTGTCTTGATTTAAGATATTTCATCTTAGTAAGATTTCAGTTTTTGCAGTGCATACATTCACCTCAGGATCAAACTTTCATCAGTGTGACATGAATTTATTAGAGGCCTATGAGCAGTGAGACATGCATTAGATCAGTGGTCACCAACTTTTTTAAGCCCAAGATCACCGACCTCGGCCTAGGTGAAAGGCGAGATCTACCTATTGCAGAATTGAGTGAAAAAGACGGCCCAGACAGTGCTTCCAATTTGAGGCCTTTTATATAGGCTAATTGCATCTGAATTACTGTTACAATGAAGGCTCCATAATCAGCTCACAGCATATAGGCAGGGGTAAAGTCCTATTTTTTATGAGTCGGGGGCGGACCTCACCTCCTCTAGGGGGGTCCTCACCTCCTCTAGGGTCCGGGGGGATGCTCCCCTGGGAAGATTTTTTTTTAAATATTGAAGTTGAAAGCATCAATCTGGTGCACTTTGAGAGCCCCCACCTGGATGGCCTACCTGTCTGTCAGCCTTCCATCTGTGCACAAACTTATCTCGTGCCCTCATTGGTCATGTGCGCGTTCGTGTGTGTTGGAGGAGGGGCTCTGGAAGGAAGTCTGAAGGAAGTGGCAGATTTTTTCCGGCTGTGTATTTTCAAATTCTAGCGCACTCGAGCGGGTTTCTCCAAAATTACCTACCCCACCTTTAAGTGTTTAATTTACAAGATTTGTTAATCAGTCATTTTAATTATCTTCTGACAAAAAGGCTTCATACTTGTTGAAATAACCAGAGTATTATATAACAACGAAAAAACAGCTATACATACTGTATGGATTCCTGAAGATCAATTTCACCAGCAAATAAAAGCTCATGTACTTTATTTAGTGAAGTTACATTTGAAAATCAGGACTCGTTTTGAAGCACTATCAGTGTTTTTGATATTGTTGGTGACATCATTGTAATTGAAAGCAACACTTGTGAATGCTGAGGATTTTCTGAGAGGAAATGTAGAAGGAGCAGGAGGTCTTCTGAAGCTTCTGCCCCCCGCCTCTTCTGATCCCATCATCGCACCATGCATTAGTCAGGCCTTGTGGACCCTCTGACGTCTGCAAAGAATATGTGAGTGAAGAAGAAATCCATCAAGGGTAATGGTATTGCAGTATGCCCTCAGGGCAGCCATCTTTAATCCTTACCCATCATGCCTCAGCCATAAACTATGCAATCACGGCCCAGTTTGAGGGAAACAGGCCGTCCCACTCAGCGAGCGTGTGGTCTTCATGCTCTATTTCAGAACCAGTCAGGGGTTTTACTTCAGATCTTTACTTTGTACCTTAAGCAGATGTGTCAGGTCCCCGGCTTCTCCTCCATTCTGTGTCCCCCCCCCCACGGCAGCTGTTCCCTCACATTGCCTGCCATCTCTTGCTCTTCCCTCTAGGTATGTCTTCACTCTCTCTCTCTCCTGAGTCCTCACAGTCTCTTTGCTTGCTGGGTTTTGTGGGTAAAATCACAACAGAGTGGCGCACCAGAGCATGCACAGCATAGTGCTGTACACTGATTTTACTCCAAATATCTTCTGTGAGCAACAAACCATCAGTGAGTTGCATAATGGTTGCAGATTTACATTTCGTATGGATACTGTAAAGATTCCCTTGTTTGCCTTACTGCACCTGAATTACACAATTCCCTTTTGTTAATGTCTTATGTGTATTTCAGCTCAAAGCTGCACCAATAAATATGATGTTATTAACAATAGCTAACATACAGTATAACGGATCATCCGTACGATAAACACAATAAAGAAGAATGTATTTTGCAAGTATTTTATGTCACTGTTTCTTAGTAATCTTTGCGTATTTATTCATTTGACTTTCTTTTGACCAATTGCCTGATGTTGAAGTCGAATGAGCTCTCAGTTTAAAAAATGAGCATAATTAATAGAACGAATACAAATGTAAAAGATTCATGATATAATCCATCTCTTAAGGGCGTGTGCTTGATATTTAAAAGGCATCAACACATCATTCCGTCTAATAACCATGAATACTCTATGAATATTTTGATGATGTTTTTGAAAGATATAAATTTATTCTATTAAATGTCAGAAGATATATTATAATTTCCCAGAACGATTGATGACGCTTGTTTTTTCCGACCAACATATTCAATCCAAAGATAATCATTCCAATAATGTCCTGAAGAGATGAGCATTTTGCTTGACAGACTTCCAGTCTTTTTTCACCCTCTGCTGGATTAACTGTAACTACAAGCAGAGCAAATTCACTTCAGCCGTACATATTTACATACAATCCCTTTAAGAGCATTTTATTAGACTTAACAAATGTATTATGAAAGCAGCAGATTCTCGGGAAACTCAGCGGACAGCCGTCTCTACTCCATGTCTAATTAATCGGCCTCATTCTGTCATGTGAACTCCGCTTTAAAATGGACCGATATTACTTGCTGTTTTGTTTCCAGTTAGTGTTAACCACATTCAATTAGAGTCAGGTCCTCTCATCCTCTGCAGACCGCAGCGCTACAGTCCTGAAAGGAAGTGGAAGTGAGCGAGCGCTGCTTGGCGAGGCCGGGCCTACAGCGCCTCGCTGTGGGGAAATTCTACAGATGGACAGTCCGCCCCTGAAAAAGTCTATGCACACGTTATTATTAATAATGATAAAAAAAAGTATTTATAATATACATTTTTTTTTTTTTTTCAATTTTCAATTTGTAATCATCTCGCAACCCCCCCGCGGGGAACCTCTGAGATAGAAGACCATCTCATCTGCTCCTTCATTTAACAGGCTGCAGATTCTTACAGTTTGAGACATTCGTGTTTATCAAATTTATATTTGTATTTACTAAATAATTTCCTATGCACTTCAATACATACTTTTAAGAAGGTTTGCATGTTCATTTTGAGGCAACACGCCCCTCCACTAAGTGTCTGAATCGGTTTACCATCCGTATCAGGGTAACAAAGTTCTGGAAATGCTTTCCAACCATAACTAAAAACGGTGTCCCGCTGCATTGCTTAAAAAAACACACCTGACAAATCATTTGAATCCTCAGTGTTATTTCACTTAGATTGTAACTAGTATATAAGTTTGCCGTTTTTATAAAATGTAGGCAATTGT